AATTTAAGAGAAGAGTGACGAGCAGATAGTGCTGGATCAAGCTAAGCCGTCACAGCCGCCACGTTAAACCTTCTTCTTCCTCTTGCTCTCTCTCTCTCTTTCAATGGCGTCGTCGCTTCTCAGAAACCCTAATCTCTCATCAACAACAATCACAACCCCTTCTCTTCCCGCCTTCTCTTCCAAATCCGCACCTGTTTCATTCCGTTTCCGACCATCCCGTCACCGTCAATTCTCCCTCCGCGGCGAATCCCTTCGCATCTCGAGTTCCGTCTCCGATCCTTCACCTCTCCCACCTCATTCCCTCCGTCGTCGCCGTCCCGAATACATCCCTAACCGCATTTCCGATCCAAACTATGTCCGCGTCTTCGACACGACTCTCCGTGACGGCGAACAGTCTCCCGGAGCTACTCTCACCTCCAAGGAAAAACTCGACATCGCGCGTCAGCTAGCGAAACTCGGCGTAGACATCATCGAGGCTGGGTTCCCCGCCGCGTCGAAGGACGATTTCGAAGCGGTTAAAACCATAGCGGAAACAATCGGAAACACCGTCGATGAGAACGGATATGTACCTGTTATATGTGGACTCTCTAGATGCAATAAGAAAGATATCGAGACTGCTTGGGAAGCTGTGAAATACGCTAAACGCCCAAGGATCCACACTTTTATCGCTACGAGCAACATTCACTTGGAGTATAAACTGAAGAAGAGCAAAGAAGAAGTCATTGAAATCGCTAGGAACATGGTTCAATTCGCGAGGAGCTTGGGTTGCGAAGACGTCGAGTTTAGCCCAGAAGATGCCGGAAGGTTTTTGATTTACTTTTGTGGATTATTTAATTATTAGTTCTAATCGTGATTGAGATTCCTGACTTTGATTCCTTGGTGAAGATTCATCTTTTTCTTTTTCTTTTTTTGTTATCCAGATCCGAGAGAGAGTTCCTGTACGAGATTCTTGGTGAAGTTATAAAAGCTGGAGCAACAACACTCAACATACCTGATACTGTTGGTATAACTTTGCCTAGTGAGTTTGGTCAGTTGATTGCTGATATAAAGGCTAATACTCCAGGGATCGAAAATGTTATCATCTCAACGCATTGCCAGAATGATCTTGGACTCTCTACGGCCAACACTTTATCTGTATGTCTTTTTACTCGGAATAACTGTTAATTCGATATATGTAATGGTATTGGGTGATAACCTTTTTTTCTTGAATTCAGGGGGCACATTCGGGTGCGAGGCAGGTGGAGGTGACTATCAATGGAATCGGTGAGAGAGCTGGAAACGCTTCACTGGAAGAGGTTAGAGTTTCATTAATTTGTCACGACATGTGAACATTTCCGGAACTGAAATCCATATTTTGGCTTGAACTTACTCAGCGAGAAGATTCTTAAGTGTAGGAGGCAGGCATCATGGGAAAGACAATCGAGTAGAACTGAGTAGGGCTTGTCATAATCATTAGCAGTGAGAAATCTGGAATAATATGCCCTAGTAAAAATTATAATTGTTAGTATAGCCTTGGCTACAATTACCTAAAGAAAAACTGTGGAGGCATATTTAACGATGAGAGATATTGGGTGAGATTAGAAGGTTGTTTTTTTTATGCTTAGCTTCTTTGATATTTTGTCTCAGGGTAAGGTTTTTGTTTGACTTTCAGTTTATGTTCTGTTGATTTTTTGTGTAAGTGTAGGTTGTGATGGCCATAAAATGCCGTGGAGATCATGTATTAGGAGGTCTATATACCGGAATCGATACTCGACACATTGTTATGACAAGCAAGATGGTACACTTTTTAACAAAGATTAATATTCTTAAGTATGTGAAAGAGTGTTTAGATTGCCATATGAGGTCTTTCATAACTGATGGCCTGTTTTCTTAGGTTGAAGATTACACTGGAATGCAAACGCAGCCCCATAAGGCTATTGTAGGAGCAAATGCCTTTGCACATGAAAGTGGTATCCATCAGGTCAGTGGACAAAAATCATTTTTGTAATTGTTTGATTATTTCTGTCACAAGCTTACTCTTTTTGAGAAACACTTATGGTTGTCTCAGTATGCTTATGTTCCCATCCCTTACACGTTCATTGTCTGGCTATGAGTAGGACGAAAAAATATACATATTTAAACTCTACACTTTTGACTTGCACATTCTTCAGTCTGCTGCATAACTCTACTTTTTTCTTCATGATTGTTTTTCCAGTTGCGGTTAATGACTATTCATGCCTCTTTTTAGGATGGAATGCTAAAACACAAGGGTACATATGAAATTATATGCCCCGAAGAGATTGGACTTGAACGATCAAATGATGCTGGCATTGTCTTGGGGAAGCTTAGGTATGAAAGTTTTTTCTGGTTTTGTATGTTTTGTCTGTAAGTCCCAGTTTGTGTTCTCTTGTTCAGACAATGCAACAAGCCTGTAATTGGGTAGTACAGTTAGGCATAACACATCTGAGAGATTGAATATTTTGAGATATTATTAGGCATTGATTGTTTGCCAGTTCACCTTGTGTATATGCTAGTGTACACTACATATGTTTTTGTAACCTGGTCTAACTGTTGGTATCTGCTTTTGCGTGGATATCATATTACGCAGTGGGCGTCATGCGCTAAAAGACCGTTTGACTGAGGTACCGAGCTATCTTACTAATACACATACTTGGTATCGCCATCTTTGTGGGAGACACTTATGCCATCTTGTATTTTCTACTTTTCCAGCTTGGTTATGAATTGGACGATGAGCAGCTAAGTACCCTTTTCTGGCGCTTCAAATCTGTGGCCGAGCAGAAAAAGGTAGTTGCTTCTGTTTATTGTATTTTTTTATTCAAATGTCTAGCTTGCTTTTTCAATTTACTGCCTCTCTCATATTTTGACTTAGCATGCAGCCATTTTGTCAAACTTTATAAAACCGTGTAATAGTTGAGTTGCCTTGCCTAATTTGGAGTTTTCATGTTTCCTTAGTTCTGGCTGCACAGCCTTAGGATATGCAGATGAAAATGGAACAAAACTGCTTTCTATTATACTTTAGAGCTCCTGAGGGTTCATTTAACGTTTCCTAATCGTATGTGTTCCTTTCTGATCCAGAGAGTTACCGATGCGGACATAATAGCTCTAGTATCTGATGAAGTTTTCCAACCAGAAGCTGTGTGGAAACTCCTGGACATTCAGGTCAAATTGAGATCATATATGTGAATTATTTTGTCCTTATGCTTGTTATTGTCTCTTGTCCATTTTTAATATTATTTTATAAGTGGAATGCAGATAACTTGTGGAACTCTTGGGCTTTCAACAGCAACTGTAAAACTTGCTGCAGCTGACGGCAAAGAGCATGTCGCTTGTTCTATGGGAGCTGGGCCTGTAGATTCAGCTTACAAGGCAGTAGATCTCATCGTAAAGGTATAATTTAATACATCGAGGTTCCCATTCACGATATGCTTAAGTTTACTGAATATTGGTTAACTTATTTGCTTTTGTTTCTTGCCTTCAGGAACCGGCGACTCTGCTTGAGTACTCAATGAATGCAGTAACAGAAGGCATTGATGCCATTGCAACCACACGAGTTCTTATCCGCGGAGACAGCAGCTACACATCTACAAACGCAATAACCGGTGAAGAAGTTCAAAGGACCTTCAGGTAAAATCCTTCTCCCTCTTCTCTCATTCAAACCGGATTTCATTTAGTCGTGTAGTTTTTTTCTTTTGATTTATTCTTGCTTGAGTAGTAGTTATAACATAGAACGAGCTGTCTCGTGTTTTGCAGTGGAACCGGAGCAGGGATGGACATTGTGGTTTCAAGCGTCAAAGCTTATGTGGGAGCTTTGAACAAAATGCTTGACTTCAAAGTAAAATCTCCCACAAAAATCCCTTCTCAGAACAACAAAGTCGCTGCCTGAATAAAAAAATCTTTCCAAAAATCAGACGAAAGTTAGGTTTGTTTCAGGTACATAGTTTGGTAATAACAGGAGTTTCAGAGTTTGCTTCTTGTTATGAAAAGAGTTTGTGTAC